TCTTCGTCCTAATGAGACTTTTATATTGAAAATTATTGCTTCTATTCATCTTAATGACAGACTTTTATATTGAAAAGTTGTGAGAAACGCCAGATTTCCAGATTTTAATAAGAGTAAAAAATCCAAATTCTGAATTAGCAAAAACTGATTCCTTTTTTTAAATATATCTATATTTTATAGACATACCTGTGCTTGTCACAACGATCCTTATTTTTTCCATCAATATTGAAATTGTCCTTGTTAATGTGAGACAAATGATTATACGAGACAGAACTACTTTTATTAGTAAAAATAATGTTTAATCTGTGGCTTTCAGTGTGATAGAATTATATACTGATTGTGGAACGAGGAAGGGAGCTTAACGGAGGGGCTTAATTTTGGTTGAGAGAGGAGTATTCTTAAATAATCGGTAAATATATATCAGGAAAACGGTCTGTATCACTTTGTTTATTTAATCCTATTTTCTGTTTTTTAATGTAACTTCTCGGAAATCATTCTTCTATAGTAAGAAGGTTCTGAGTCTAAAATATTAACGTTGTTCCAGCCTAAATCATGTTCGTTATCTAATTGGTGTTGAGACACGACCGATAGAGCATTAGTAGGTTTTTTATGTCTGCCTTATGTTCTTTTATCCGCGTGTTCAATTTTCTTTTTGTTTACCCGACATATGAGGCTTCGCAGTCTAAGCAATTGATTTTATATACTACTTCGGCGTGCTCTTCCTTTTTTAACCGGTCTTTCCCTATTTTAATAAAATTATTAAGCGTATTCAATGGTTTGTGTGCAATCTTCATATCAAATTTCCTAGCTACAGTTTTAAATTTTTCCGAGATGTTCAAATATGGAACCACAAAAAACTTTTTTTCTATGGTAGAGTCTGATACGTTATTATTATTTTGCTCCGAATTTCTTTCTGATTTTTCTGTGTAGAAATGTGATTCTATTCTATTCCTTATGGTGGAAAAAATAAAATCCAATGGATACCCATATTGTTGAGGAGTGTGTTAATCATAGAAGAGATATTCTTTTCTTGAAATTTAGGATGTGATAAGAGTAAAATTTTGTCCAACTGTCCTATCACTTCTTTTTTACGTTCAACTGGATAATTAGAAGTAAAGGTCAAAAATCTACCTGAGTTCGTGGGTTTTTTATAATTATCAAAAATGATTCTTTCATCTTCAACCATCGGTCTCAAGAAAACTAATTTCCCTATCATCAATCGTGAACTTTATTCTTTCATGATAAGAATTAAAAAGACCAAATATTTCATCTATTTGATCTTGTGGAACTGCTAATATAATGTCGTCCACATAGCGATAATAAAAAGGAATGCCTGTATTGATGGTCTTGAATATATTAATTTCTAAATCTTGCAACACAATGAACGCCAATATTGGGGAAAGCGGAGAACTCATGGATATTCCAAAAACTGTTTAAAAATTATGTCGTTGAATTTAAAAAAATAGAATCCAAAATTATTGAAATAGCATTTAAAAACTCGTCAAGTGGAATGTCAGTATTCTTGTATATCCGTGTCCATCTTCTTTTAATGCTTTTTATTACAAGATCTTTCGGTATGTTAGTGTACATCAATACTACATTAAACGACACAATCTTAAAATCATGCTTTATTTGCATGCCATTGCGTTTTTTGACAAATTCAAAGCTATTTTTAATATAACCAAAATTTTTTTCTGTGCTTTTATCAATAATACCTTTCAAATAAACAGCAAGATGATAGAGAGGACTGTTTATGTAACTAACTATTACTCTCAATGGACTCCCTTCCTTATGCACTTTTGGAAGCCCATAGATCCTCGGCAATTCTCCATTCAAACATAATTTTTTATAAATGGTCTTATCTATAAGTTCTTTGTTCCTCCATTTCGTTAGAAGCGAGCGAATTTCCGTGGTTACTTTATTAATAGGATTTTTCTTTACAATAGTCTAAGTATCTCGATCAGACAAAATCTCATTCATTTTATTTTTGTAATCATCTAAATTTAATATAACAGTGATATTACCTTTATCCGCTTCAGTAATTAAAATATCAGAAATAAAATTTTTTATTCAGAAATAAAATTTTTTAAAACTTTTATGCCTTCTTTAATGATATTGTTGTCAGAATTATTCGTATTCGTATACTTTAGTGTTCGTAAAATTGAAATTGAATCGTTCCTGATCGATTCAATTTAGAATTTGGATTTTTTACTCATTAAAATCTGGAAATCTGGCGTTTCTCACAACTTTTCAATATAAAAGTCTGTCATTAAGATTAATAGAAGCAATAATTTTTTCAATATAAAAGTCTCATTAGGACGAATAGAAGCAAAGATTTTTCGGCAATATACACAAGCGTAGATTGTAATTCAAACAAAAAATTTATTTTGTTAATTTATTCTTTTAATCTTATGATTAAGAATCATTGATCGTTTATTTATTTCAATTCTTTTAATCTTATAACTGCGAACTATTTTTATATTATTTATATTGTATACTCTGAAGATGGCCTGATATAGGCCAAAACGTCTATAATTTATTTCTATAACATAAGAATTTTAAATATACAACATTCGCAAAAAACACCTTGCGCATGGCTAAATGCTCTTTATAATTTATGTTTGTAATTTACGAGCCACTAGTAAATTTACAAATTTAATTCAATAGAAAGTTACTAGTTAGTACTCGTATCAAGTGCACGATGTAAACTAAGCCAGTGACATTAATTTGTATACCTTTTCTATATCCTAATTCTTCTTTGTGCAATTTATCATACATGTCAGGATAATCGTTGAGAATATCACGCTTCTCATCCTCATTATCGTCCATGTCTTCGCTTTTCCATTTATCAAAATCGATCTTAAGCCACGAAGGTTTTTGTGGTTGACTTATTAGTCTTGGCCACCAGCCATTACATTTCTTTCTCAAAACAAAGTTCACCTCACGATCGATTACCTTGTAATTACTTTCCTGGAATAAACATTTCATACAAGTTTTCTTTAATATAATTGCATCAAATAAACATAAAGGTAATTTAAACTTGTCGTTACATTTGGATCGATAGGTGAGTAAAGATTTAAATCAAAGCTGTAACTGTTCACTCCTCTGGCTCCATGTCCATAGACTGTAACTTGCAATGTAGTTTCTTTTAGATTGACATTAAGATCCTGCGAAATAAGGTGTATAATTGACAATTTATATTGATAACGCAATCGAAACTTTACACTTACAAGTATAAAGGTCTTGTATGTCCTTTCGTGTGTATATAACATACCTTTACATCAGTTAAATCTACCTTCAGTGTAACTTGACTCTCCGTCTGGGCCCAATATACAAATGGAGTGAGCGTGTTGGACATTTTATCATAGCAACCTGACGACAACAGAAATCTATCACCGTCTGTTATCAGTAACAACTTATCACCGTTTACCTCTGTAATTTCTAAAAATTCTGCAGCAACATGCGTACTGTCACTTCTATTTCCCACTTCAGTTTTCGACTTTGCACTTTGACCGTTGAATCAATTAAATACAATCAAATGGAGAAAAAACCTTATTCACTATATGCTAATCGTTACATCGTCTTGCTTTATTTACATAGAACGATGAGGCCATGAATATATAAAGTCAATTGGTAGGCAAATGAAGGGGACGACCAGACGGGGTTTGAGGCAATCGGAATCGCTGGAGACGCAGGTGGCTGGAGTAAATTCTTAAGATCAGTGTTGTTCCATCGGGTCACTGAAAAATCTTCCGCGCATGCACGAAAATCCATCAATGGCGTGGTAAAACTTACCAATAACCATAAAGGAAATACAGGTCGTACCTGGTCCCAGGCATATCTGGAGGTCAATTATGTATTTCGAAATGAGGTGAAAATTACAATAACAAGCAAATTTATTAGCATATTTATAATTTCATCGATTAACATTTAGCGAATTCGCTCACTAATTTCTAATAACTTTCTAATTTTCACCTCGTTTAAAGATAAATCAATTCCCTATGGAACGAACTGTACCCGAGACATTCCACGTCAAATCGGGCACTTTTGAACATCGTCATTTTTAATTTTTTTTTAAACTTGCTGACTATTCTACAGATAAAAATATGTTTCGCGAAAAAAATTTGAGATTTTTGGGAAGTTACATTTACGCTTGTAAGTTGTAGAAATTCATAAAAAACGTCGCTCATGCGAACATTCAAATTATTGTGTCGTCGAAATTATTTATAGTTGTACAAAAAAAATGCAAGAGATCAAATTCCATTTGTTTATGATTTTAATTATCATATGTATTATTTATCATCTACTCGATTATAGACAGGTACTTATTTATAGATTTAACTCGGCGTTTACAATAGAATTAGAAACGGTCGTATAAGGCTCTTAGGTCGTAGAAAATTAAACAATTATAGTCGAATAATTGAGAATAACAATGAAAAGAATAATCGACTATAATCAATTTTCTACGACTTGAGATGTTAATTTCCTATCTTTACGACTTCTATTGTAGACACCGCGTATTAGATTATTATAGTTACTGGAGTAAAATTTCGAAACGCAAATCGATAATTTCCTCTCACCGAATAGAGTATATGTATATTTTGTATAATTTGCATTAGTAAAAAACCTTCTATTTCCATTCATTTTCAAAAATCTTCTTTCGACCTTCCGATAGGTTTTAAAACCTTCCAAAAATAAAGGAAAATCTTCCAGTGGAACAATACTACTTAAGGTCCATTTGCAAGGCTGCATTCAGCTGATTCTTAGGCTAATTCTGTAATGTGCTTTTTATTTCCTGTTTTTTGCTGTTTGTCTCTTGCCTTCTTGATCAAAAAGGCAAGAGACAAACAGCAAGAAACAGGAAACAAAAAGCACATTGTAGAATTAGCCTTAAGGTCCATTCACACCAAGATTCTGCTGCTTCCCGCTGAACCGTATTGCACTTTAAAGTAAAAAATACACGAGGTTCGTTCACGTTGTCGGAGAAATTCTTTTCTGACGTTTGCACTTTTTGCTCTCAGCATCTTCGCTTTCTCTCTTTTCAACGTCCGAATAAATATTTATCTCGTTTTAAATACAAAAGTTTCTAGAGATTTTAAACAAACCTATTGTTGGAAAGGAAGGCAGACGAAAAGTGCAAAAAGTTCAGCTATTTCGGGAGGCCGTTCTAACTTCTAACCTGTTCTAACCTACAACATGCCACGCGATGCTGCATTGTTTACCGAGGAGGGGATCCTCGGCGGACGAGGAACTTGGTGCAGAGGGGTTCGCTCGTACGAGCACGTGTAGTTTCACTGGCGATGCAAATTTTTGAAAATGACCAACGCCGAGGTGCTACAGCTGGACGTGTGGAAGGGCGACTGGGGCCTGCCGTCGGTCGACGTAGAATGTTTGCAAGTTCTGGTGCGTCGAGTCGATGAGTATAGGTTATGGCACGCGCACACTGATTAATTTCGGCGATCCCCTTTTTCTCGTATTCATAGAATTCGCCAAGTGCGATACGTGCGAGAAACGTCTAGTATCTTTCCAAGTAGCGTGGATTCTTCGGCCAACTTAAGAATCTTTAAAGAACGTTGGAGCACTTGCGGCTCCGGAGCGATTATCCTAATTGAAAATAAGAGACTCTTGGCGAATTTTATCTTCAAAAAGAAAGCAGATGATAGAACGATACTCCCTGAAAAATTTTTATTAAATTTTAACGGAATTTTTATTCAAAATTTATTTGCAAAAGATATGTAATACTATGGTTGGTCAAAGAAGTCATTAAAGGGATACTTGCTGCCTTAGAAATGTATTGAAAAACAATATGACGTGTGTAAAGATATCAGGATATCTAAAGTATTAGCTGGATATGGCACTAGTAAAATGAAAATGAAAAAAAAATATGAAACATACCTAACTGCTTCATTATATCTAAGTTGACTTGTTGAAAGCTGAGTGTTAATTGTGTTTCAATAGCCATCCAAATCATAATAATCTGTATATTCTCTATCAGAAATTATAATTATTTTATTATTGAAAACTCAATGTCCATTAATCTATTCATGTCTTAATTTATCTAATAATAATGTAACATCCTGATGATATAACAGGTTGTGACTCATTTCCTAATACAGTATCATGTTATTTGTAGGCATATGCCAAATTCAGTGGGGTACCTTTAAAAATAAATCTAGCAAGCAATCCGTTTAGAACACCAAACGGTCGATTACCTTCGCTTAAGGCTGGTCTACGTACTTTGGATACAGTTAAAGATATATTGCCCTTTTTTAGAGCAAAACATTATAATTCTGACTATACTTTAAACGATAAGCAATGTGCAGACGTCATGGCTTATGATGCTCTGCTTAAGGAAAAGTTATATCCAGCCTTCCAATTTATATGGTATGAGGTATAGAAACGCATATCAGAACAAAATGCAACTCATTGCTTATGAAATTTTAATGTTATTAAAATTAATTTATTCATAACAGAAAAACTGAGAAAGTTGTTATTAGCTCTATTGAAAATCTAATTAAATCTATTAAAAAATAATTTATTTATTCATCCTTATTGCTGAAAATTTTTCTGAGAAATTAATGTCATCTTCAAAATTTAAAATTTTTACTTATTGTTTATATTTAAAATGTTAGTTCATTAAATCCTACAGAATTTTTCTAGCGCTTTAAGTATTATTAAGAAAAGAAATTGTCAAGAAAGGTTTTCAGATACTATTTAAGAAAAGCTGGTTTTTTAATATGCAAAGCAAAATTCATAATTACAAATGGCTAGTAATTTGTGTCTAAATAATAATAATAATAAGATAAATGAATTATTTGTTTCAAATAGCAATATTTAAACATTTTTAAGTATGAAATGCATATTATTCTGGTCATTGCATACATGTTTGTCCAGTCCTTTGGTTTTGCACAAATTATATTAATAGCTTCACATTAGCAAGTATATTTTAGTGTAATTAGAGTCTTATGCAAGATCAAGCTTTTGTAATTAGAGCACATATAACATAAGACATATTGTTTCAATTATTTTTAGGTGGATAGATAAGAAAAATCTAGATGAATTAGTTAGACCGTGGTACTGCAAAGCGCTGCCTTTTCCATTCAATTTCTATTATCCAGGAAAATTTGAGCGGCAAGCACACGCCTTAATGCAAAGTTTATATCCTCTGGAAGATAATATCAATGTTATAGAAAATGAGGTTTGTGTAACATGTAGAATAATTAAAAATATATTAAATACATAGGAAGATATTGGAAAAAAGAATGTAATGTTTAAATGCAAAAAAAACTTATTTTGATTAACTTTAAGCATCTCTATGTAACAACAGGTGTATTCGGAAGCACAAAAATGTTTAACGTTATTATCTATAAGGCTTGGAGATAGAGATTTCTTTTGTGGACAAGAGCCTAGCACAATAGATGCCGTTATATACTCATATCTGGCACCGTTGCTCAAGGCTCCATTACCAAATCCAGTCTTACAAAATCATTTAAAAGCCTGTACAAATCTAGTGAAATATGTGTCGCGTATATCACAGAGATATTTTGAAGAAGAGTATCAGACTTTTGAGAAGCAGAAGGCCGAAAAAAATGCCGAGAGATTAAGAAGAGATTCTGAAACTGAATTTCCCAATAAAAGAAGAAATCAGATCCTTGCTGCGCTTGCTGCTACAATAGCAATGGCAGGATATGCGGTATCCACTGGTATTGTAGAGGTAAGTTTCGTTTATACAGAGAAAAAAGTATGGTAGAATGTATATCGTAGACTCATGGAGAATTCTCGCAATAGAATTTATGTTGGATATTAATTGGTTTTCCTATCTTTTTATCTTTATTTTGAGAACATTTAATATGAATTGTCTTTATTACAATAAGTCAATACATGTATTCATTCATTTTCATAAATACTGTAACAAATTTTTGCATGAGAAAATTTCTTTTTATATAACAAAAATTTCTATATTTTTACCTAAATTGGATATATTTTGTACAGCTAAATGTAATGTTTATAATCAATTTAGTAAAATATATCTGTAATATAGAGGAAGCATAAAATCCTTTATCATAAAAAGATAATATTTATATAAATACATCTTTCTAAAAAAGAAACAGTACAAATGCTGAGTTTGAAGCTACAAGTAGCTTTATTTGTAGGTGCTAGTATATTTGTTAAGAAGCAGAAAATTTATTAAAATTCCTAAGAAGAAAAGAAAACGTGAGTATTAGTTGCACATTGATAATATACTTTTACATGGAAATTAACCAATTAATATCAATTTTTATATAGAATAAATACATTTTTGCTTCTTACCGCATACACCTTAAAAGATTGCGATAAGTTGGTATATTTGCGCTTAAAGTGGCTAGATAACTTATCTTTATTTAGTCTCTAAAGTGGAAAAATTACATTCCTGTGTAAATAACATGGGAGGGGGGGATTTAAATATTCTAACATTAGATGTAGAATTATATTTATAAAGTTTACTAAAATTTAATGTAGACTTTTTATTAATACGTTTAATGAGAATCTTAAATGTTTTATATGCATATTAATACTTTTGATGTATCAAAAGGTGATAGAAGTAAATAAAAAGTTTAAGAATTATTCCTTAATAAAATGTTTAAAAATTAATAGAGATAATTTTTTAAGAGAATAAATAATTAAGAAAGTATAAAGCTTTAGAGAAATGGAAATCATTAATAAAATTTTTCATTTAGCTTTAAATAAATTTAAACTATAACAGTAATAAGGCTCAATAAATTTAAAAAACCGAAAGAAAAAAGGGCTACGAGTCTAAGATTAAAACGTTATAAATTAAAATTTCAAACCGTTAATAAATAAACATGTCATTTAGTTAAAATATAAAACTTTAATTTGCCGGCAATAAACAATAAAACAAAAACAAACGTTTCGATCCCTGTTGGATCATTATCAATGTTAATAAAAATAACAGTAGAATTTATTACAAAGATATATAAAAATTATAGTTCGCTGTCAATCGCAGTAATAATATCATCAATCTCGCTCAGTATTAGTAGTGAGGTGATAGAAGTAAATATTATAAGAATGTTGTAATCGGTAATCATATATTCCTCTGGTTTATGTATGTAGATTATAGACAAATATAATTGTTTCTATGAAAAAGTACAAATATAATATAAAAATGCAATAGGAATAAGTAATCAAATACAATCTAATACGAGAAATACAAAATAAGAAGCAAGAAATAAAAATAAAAAAGTAATCTAATATTCAATTAATACTATAATGTAACTGCCTCTTACGGTCCGAGCTGGATCTTTGTTGCTTTAAATAATTCAATCTTGAATTACTAATATATCCTATATATGTACTTGCATATATACCATATTGTAGTCTTTTTCAAACTGCGCGCCGAATTGTTTTTCCGGACTAAATAAACGCAATTAAAACTACTCTAGTAATCGCGAATTAAATTGACAAGCAATTTTTTTTAATAATTTGATGCTACCATCAAGCATCATATATTATAAAGATGTTAATCTATAAAAACTGTTAATAAATTTATTGCGAAAAATATTACCTCGGCCGGGACTTGAACCCGGATCTCTTGTAAACCATACGAGCGTCCTGAGCCATTAGACTACCGAGGCCTAATCTAATATTATAATAAATGTAAACTAAATTCATTAATACGAAATGAAAGTGTGCGATGTAGTCATAAATTATATATATTTAATTTAGTAGCAGCTAAATCAAATGAGAATAAATACCTGAAATTGTATGTCAATATAATATAAAAGTTGTCTATTCTTAGGCAATGCGATGAGAGTGAAAATGTAGTTATTTCTCTAAGAAAAGTTCAGAGAGAGAGACAATATAAATTCGACATACTAAAACAAGAAGGTTGATATGGTAAACTAGAAAGAGGAACATAAGGGAAATTAAAATAGTGAGACGAGAAAGTGGGAAAAGGGGAAGTAAAAAGAGAAAGAATGCAGTTAAGAAGGAGAAAAACATTGAATAATCTGTGAGTAAGATTCAGGGAACGATTCAGTATCATTTTTTCTATTAAGATCTTGTTTCTGTCTTTTGAGATGTGAATCATTTCAGACACTAATCTTTTGTGGTACGAAGATTCTCAATCTAAAATTTTCACTTCGTTCCATCTAAAATTGTGATTAAAATTGATACGATGATCAGTTATGACAGTAGGAGAACCAGAATTCTTCCTAATATCAGAGATATGTTCGTGTAATTTCGTACTTAATTTTATTTTATTCTAACCAACACAGCTCGCCTCACAATCGTCACAAGAAATCTTATATACTACGTTTTGGTTAGATAGAAAATCTAACTTATCTTTTCCTCTCTTAATAAGACTTTTTAATGTGTTAGTGATAGAAAAGGCTAGTTTACAATGAAACATACTAGAAAAAGGAAAAGTTTTATATTTTAACTAAATGACATGTTTATTTATTAACGGTTTGAAATTTTAATTTATAAGGTTTTAATCTTAGGCTCGTAGCTCTTTTTTCTTTCGATTTTTTAAATAAATTTATTTTTAGATTTTTAATTTGGAATATTCTATTATATATAAAAATGGTAGTGTAGAATATTCAAATCACAAAATTCAACAGCCAATATATATATATTTTTTTTGCTCATTGCAATATTAAAAAAAGTAATACATATTTATTAAAGGTACCAGCAAAGGATGACGAAATCTCAGATGTATCAATGGAATATATGCTGAATGACGAGGATGACGAATAACAGTTAGCAAAAAGAAAATTATGTTTTTACGACAAAGATAGGGAATGTAAAATTATTAAATCCACAAGAATATCCCGTTTCATGCAATATTTCGCAGTGATTTACGTTCGAAAGTCTTGGTGTGGAATAGTCTTATATTCCTGACAAAGGAAAAAAGAAAGGGAGATATTATAATGTATAAATAGCAAAATATATAACAAAGTAAATAAATATTTTGGAATATGACATATACCAACATTATTAATTTTTTCCTATTTTATATCGCATTAAGATACCACTCGTGGCATGGTGCACTTCTTCCGCGAAACTTTTAAAATTGTGTATGGTAGTACCACCTAGAATAATTTTTATACCCGGATTTTGTTTATTTAAATTATAAACAGCCAAACTTTCTTCATAAGTTGTACCTCCAATCATGAATATTATTGTGTCTTGAGGTCTATAAAAATGGGACAATAAAATATGTTGTATATAATTTATATCTAATATGCATGTGTATGTAGTTTGCTATTTAATTTATAAGTAATTTACCTTCGTGACATTATCATATTACCGAGATATGGGAATGCCTGCGTACTTAATCTTCCTTTGATTAAGTCCTCTAACGTTTCATTTATTAAAGGACAATGTTGCGTGTATATATTATCTACTCCACTTAATCCTTTGAATAACTTTTTGGTTATTTTAGCAACTGCTTCTCTATCAAATAAATTACTCTGTCTTGTGTTAACACCACTATATTCTAGTATATTATATACAAGCTGGAAATATGTTACGATTTGTATATTATGTATGTATATATATTTTTTTCAAAAACACATCAGTTATATAAATACTTTAATATATTTGTCTGAAACATTCCTCTTCTTAAGTAATTCTATTAAACCGTTTATATCATTGCTCGCATGTTTTTCATAATGCAGCGCATAAAGCATGACGAGTCGAACAGTATCCACATCTCGTACCTTTTGATTGGCAATAAGTGCTTTTATCTTCTGCAGCTGTAAACAGAGCCATAAAAAAAAATATATATATAAATATATACATCTCAAAGAGATACATATAAAATTTTTTTTAATCGTTTTTTGAAGATATTACCTGCGAGGAATGATCGGTTTGGCAACTCAGTTCTTGTTCCAATTCTGATACTTCTAACAAATTGTGCTTTTCCACAAGAGATGAAAGCTCTCCGACTACCGTAACATGTTTCGATACGGTACCAGAAAGTTTCTTGAAAAGCGGATACGTCTCTACGAAGTGTTTCATATCGGCTATGCTTTCAACCTTTTGATGCTTCTTTGCTTTCTTTTGAAATTCATCCATCAATTCTTTTATCGTTTGTCCTATTTCTCCAAAGTTTAGATACAAGTTCTGCTCAAGAATATATTCTTTTAACATAAAAAAATCTTTCATAAAGAATAAAGTTTCGAAAATTATTTTAAAAATGACAATTATACATAAAATATCATTCAAAAGTATAACTTTTATTAGTTTATATTTACTTCTGCTAGTGTTTCAAATATAAATGCACATATAAAATTAAATGAAAAATATTCTTACATTTGCATAAAAGTCATCGTGTTCTGCACTTAGAACAACTTCTTTCAATTCTTTCGAAATGCCTTTTACGTGAGATAAGTTGACTCGATTATTATTAATTGTTAATAATTCGTGTACCATTGCTTGATACGTCCACTGATTCAGTAACGGCGTGACAGGATCGTCTCTTCTATCAACTATCAAAAGGAGAGGATTAGATTCCTGTCTGAATTCAAAAGAATTCGACTCTTTACTGAGCACTTCTCTTATCTTCTCTGCTAATCTCTTTGCCATATCTGAACTGTGTTGGTATCTAATATATGGGCATTTTTTTAGTGATAACAAAACAGAAGTAATTCCTTGGACAGTTCTGTGTAAATGCACTGGATCCCAAGTCAATCCTTTAATTGTAACACAAATAGACAATATGAAAAATAGTCTGTTAAGTAGTTTTTCTTACATCTATACAGAAACGAGTTTATGAACAAACATTACCTTCGGAGCAGGCATTTATTCCAAGTGAAAATAAGTGTGGATTAATTGCTAGATAATCTGCATAGAATTCATGCACCTCCCTGACTACCTCTCGCTCATCGCTTTCTGCCAGAAGCTTTATATCAGCTTTCGCAATAATGTTACTGAAATCTAATTAAGTTTATTAACAATTATTACTTTTTATTCTCAATTTAGTTCTTCAATGTCTTATTAAGAACATAATTTTTGTAAAGACATGATACTACTTACAAATATAATATACTCCATATTTGGGGTATCTGAGCTCCTTGCAAAGCAAATCGATATTTTCCTTTGTTGGTCTTACAAATACTATGCATGTCAAATGTTTCAATGTGTCATTATGTGCAGCGGTGTCTATCCGTTCGAACAGGTATACTTCTTTCATCAATATCTCAGACTGACTGTACAGCAGGCTGACTATACTTGTCTAAAATTTTAAAAAATGACAGAGGAATGACGATCTTTGAAACTTGTCATTTATTACTGTTTTTTTTTGCAGCTGTTATATTGTTTGTGCTTAAAGTGAAATAGGCATGTAATTAGAGAGGAAAAGGAAAGACAAGAGAGGAATTCAGCTGCAACCAAAAAAAAAAACGTAATTCACAGTACTTATCATGCCTACCGTTTGTTTATCCATTAGCAGAACTTTCATACCAGGACCGCTGTCTTCTGTCATCCTCGTTATATAAAACTTCAAAGCGGTGACGACGTTCATCTTGACAGTTGGATTAACGCTTCAAGTGTGGTTAAAGTATTACGCGAGCGTATACTACGCTAAATTCATATTTTGTTTAAATAAAACGCGATTAGTTGTAGAGATGCATATATATGGTTGAACATGTACACTCCGCATGAAACCTACTAGAGTACCATGTCACATTCTAACAAATTTTGACAACACATGCATAAAATTCAGACATAAAACGGTGTTCGCAATGGCACAGCTGGTCTCCCGAGTGCCCGATTCTTCGTTGATTGGTCCGTTTCGAACATGGCGAGATTTGTCGCGTGTCATTCTGATTGGACTCCGATTGATCAAGTTCCTGTTAATTTAGGCTGCGGTCCACTTGCTTCTTCCAAATGCTCTAAACGTTATGCTTCAAACGCTACGCTCCGATTGGTCCCTTACAATTTCGAATGCTACAATTGCTACGTGAACGCTCCAGCCAACCCACCTCCCGAGGTGAGGCAATTGAAGCGAAGTGGGAGCAAAAACGATGACGTATTGATCATGATGGAATTATAGATATCTATAATGACGTAATCAGAGTTGCTGGGAGCATTCTGAAGCATCAAATGGACCAGTCATGTCAGTGCTACAAATGCTCTGTAGCGTTTGAAGCGCTAAGTGGACCGCAGCCATAGGCTGCTTTCCTTTTAGGAGACACAGTCGATACAAATCGACACAAGTGTCGTTTTATCTTTGTCACTCTCTGAATATCAAGAAGGATAGAACGATATTTGTGTCGACTTGTGTCGATTTGTGTCATCAAATGGAAAGCAGCCTTAATCAGCGCGATTAAGGACCACTTTCACCAAGCTAAGGGCCTGCGCACAATAGAGGAACAGGAATTAGATATTAAGATTTCAACCTATCAGAAACTGATTACATCGGAATACACGATTTCTGATAGGTTGAAATCTTAATATCTAATTCTTGTTCCTCTATTGTGCGCAGGCCCTAACTTACCAACCTAGTAACTGTAATGAAATAGAAAAAGATAGAACTATTTCTATATCTTTCTATTTCATTACAGTTACTAGACTGGTTAAATAAGCCGATGATGGTGAAAGTGACCCTTAGCCCGGATCCTCATACAGGCACTGGCGCTTTGACACAGAGCACTGATTGGTGAAAAGTCGGTTGTGGGGGTAAAATTTACCCCCATCAGCCGTTTTTCACCAATCAGTGTTCGGTGTCAAAGCGCTGTTGTTCGTATGAGGATCCGGGCTTAAAGTCCGTATCAGACTCTGCAAGCCGACCCAACTGCCAACTCTGACTGCCGACCAATAATGGACCAATCACATTGAATCAGTCTTATGGTGATTGGTCCATTATTGGTCGACAGTCAGGGTGCCGTCACATGCGGCGTAACCTGCGTATTCTAGTAATTTACTAGAATACGTTATTTTTTATTTACTAGAATACGCCATTCTGAAAGCCGGCATTGGGCGTATTTCGCGGAAGATTAGAGAAATGCGGAACTAATGCAACTGTAAGATACCGAGCGGTAGGAACCTCAGGAAGGATATTGAAGGATAGAGTTGTGAATAGAGAGGGTAAAAAGGTAACACCACGAGACGACGGTCCGAGTATATATAACGGTACTTTTTATTGGCGATGCGCACCGTATCAGAGCAGAGCAGAGCACATTCTCTCTTGCTTAAATTCTTACTCTCTACATGCCCACACAGGCGCGTCGTTGTAACGCAAACGGCCAATCAGGTGGCTTGCGGTCTCTGACCAATGAGATCGCGGGGACGCATATCGTGGCGCCATTTCGCTTGAAGGCGCGAAATATAAATGCTAGTGATTGTTTTACACAACCAATTGTTGATTCGAATTTCTGTTGTACACTCTAAAGAAATACTAAACGAATTTACGATTGGTTTTCGTAACCTACGCAACTCGAAAAGTACGCCTCATGGGGAATCGGCACCTTTCCATCGCGTATATATGAGCGGATAATCGAATAAATTATTAAAATTGGAAAATTTTATGAGACCACTCTTAGGCTTATTCGACGCGTTTTTGCATGAAACAAAAGTATCTGGTAAGAAAAACGTCGTTCTGCCTTGTGATCTGAGATATTAAACGTTAAAGTTGATGACTATTGAGGTTAGGAAATCTGTCACAGAGGTCTATAATTGTACTGTTCCACACGGGTTTCGACTTTTCACGCGATGCAAAGGGGCGCACGACTTCTATAATTGTACTGTTGCAAAATCAAAACCCTCGTGCATTTTTTCAGACAGAATAAGCTAAAATGAGCCAGAAATTAGATGCTACGCATGATGGTTCTATCATGTTTCGGCGCAACAACAAAATAGCGTAAAAAGCATAAAGTGATTAGACAGAAACTGATGTTCAAGTGAAATGATATGATTGGTCGGCGCAAGTTACGCTCACGCAAGTTACGCCGCATGTGACGGCACCCTAAAAGGAAAGCAGCCTATCTCTCTTCAATTCTAGAATTGGAAAAAGATGAGAAACAAGTTGAACCTCGGTTAAGAGTTAACCGTGAGTTGTGAAACTGGGGTTCTATTCTTGAAAAGAAACGTATACGAAATCTAGGGAAATGTGAACAGTATACGTTACGTATACTATAGTATTTCCCTAGACTTTCGTATACGTTTCGTTTCAAGAATAGACCCCCTGGGCCTTAACCAGGCATTAGTTGACTGGCGTTGGTGAATGGTGGTGAAATTGGCTTTCAATCTCCAATGCGTGATGTGACACGGGCATTACGGCCAGTATAAATGCTTCTCATGCCACGGCTCGAAGGCCGGAGGCCGGAGGCCCCAATGAGACCGGGCGCTCGCAGGGTCGTAGGTCGCGGCGTCGCGTGAACATTGGCGAGCATGCGCGGTTTACGGCCAGCCCGAACCGAAGGTTGCCGAGCATTGTCGACGATATTCGTGCGGTGTTCGTTTGTGCCTTCGTGGACGGAGACGGAGCGTGGAACTGAGCGAGGCGGGTTATTGCCGTGCGTTTTGCATTTTGATTTCACGAGTACCGATCGGACGCAAGGCTTCCGAAACCTTCCTTCCCTCGTCTCTCGACGATGCACCGGTGTGGCTTCTGAAAGTTCAGCAACGACGCGGACAGGATAACATCCTCGCGGATCATCGGTGTTTTGCTTCCCTTCCCGGTCGGGCGTGCGTCCACGCCGATCGTGCGTGTCGCGCCACGATGGCTCTCAGCCAGACCAGCGTGGTGAGTAGAAACCAGCGAACGTTACGCCGTGAACGTTCGCGTTTCTTAGACGTTTATGCATTCTGAACGATTCCCCGAGATAACGAGGAGCTTTCCTCCGGATTGTTCTGGATCTTTCGATATCCACCAGAAAATGCCGCGCGCATCCGGCGGCGCGATACGCTCGACTGCGGGAGCATCGTGGAAGTCGTACCTTGGACTGAAAGGTCCTAATAATGGCACGTTTGCGTTGTTCGACGTGGCTCTCTGACTCTAACATACAGTCATTTAATATTTAAATACCAAGCTGCACCTTACATGCCACTGTGATATCTCTGAGCAAATGTTCAACTGTTTACATACTTGATTGGTTTAGTCAAATAGAATCTTTTCCTTGATGTAGGATTCTCAGTATCTCTAGCTTGATGGAAATGCTGGAATAAGTTAAATTGGGGCCAGTATAAATCTGCAAGTGTAGATTTCTATGCAATATACAATTATATTCCTTTTATGCTTCTAACATCTAAGTTTATGAAGACACTAATTTGAATGTAAAAGATATACAAAAATAATATAATTTGTACACAAATATTTGTACTTATACATATAGATTTATATTTTAATTTTTTAATAGCAATGCATTTGTATATTTACACTTATGTAACATTTATTGATTAGTATGACTGCTAAAAGAAACTATAATTGATGGAAGTATACGCTATATACTGTGAGCATATATACTGAAAAAATTTATAAAATCTTTATGAATGTTTATTCGAATAATACTAACTAAATATTTACTAAATGTAAATACATTTATTTGATACAAGAAAATCAATGTGATTTAATGATTACTTTTTTTATTAAGTAAATATTTACTGTAAGTAAATGTTTAATACTAAAAATATGTATTAAAGTTTAATACATTTTTTTTTAGTATGTATATATTTTTAATATTCTTGCAACATCAAAAGAATACTACATAAATTGAATACTACATAAAACATTTTACACACAGCTGAAATTGTACAACACTGTGATAGAAGATGTAATATCGGGAGTACGAGAGTCGTTTATAGACGAAGGTGTGGATGAGCAGGTTTTACTAGAGCTCAAGCAAATATGGGAAGGAAAATTAATGGCCAGTAAGGCCGTGGAATTAAATCCAGATCCACCAGAGCCACAAGTTCCTCAAATCAATACGCACAAAGCTGTGTCTGTCAATAAAGGTATGCATTGATAGTAGATATTGTTACTTTTGACAACTTCGAAGATTCAAAGTTTTGAAAGAATTTGAATTTTTGAAAATAATTCTGAATAGTTACAATAGAAAATCTATATGTATAAAAATGAATGTATGTCTGTCTGTTACCTATGCATTGCTACACCATTGATCCGATCGCCATGAAACTTTGGGAAGTTGTTCATTGTAAGCCGGACAGCCCCCAAACGTCAATCAATTGGTCGATCTACATCACGAGCACGGAAGATAAATTCCGTGTATTCAGAAGCACTCAAATAAATAAATAGAATTAAAAAGAGAGTTTGAAATGTTTTGTTGATGAATAAAATTACACACTGTAAATGAAAATTTAATCATAATAAATTAAATTTTATCGTAACGCGAGTTTATTTGAATTTTTTTCTTCTGAGATCGCAGCAACGCGCGACGGGTAAGCTAGTATATTATATAATTTGCTCCTATAAATTTCAACAATAAATAAGAATGAAAACGGTTGAGCATATGCCACACACTAGATCTTGTTAATGAAATATCATTAATATATTCGTATATAAAATTAAAAGAATTACAATAATTATGTCAGACATAATAAATCAAAGTATAAACGTTTCGGCCCTGAATGTGGCCATCTTCAGTATAAATAAAACTAATATATAAAATTATAAAGATATAAGAATTACAGAATAACGGTTACAATTAGAATATATAATAAAGTTTTTTAATTGTCAAAGTATAAAATAACTCAATTTAATGTTATCGAGTATTCAGTCGTGAGATGAAATTATCAATTGATAAGAAAATTCCTCCAATGTACAATATTATTTAGAAGGATAGTAACATCAAGATATAATTGCCAAACTAAAATGTATATCTCAATTAGATATTGTCTTTACATTTTACAAAACAATATTAAAAAGTGTGAAAACTGTAATCTTACCTATATCTTGAAAAATCCATAGTCATTCGATCATGGAAGATATATCCCTATCTCGTTATTCTTACAAAAATTAACGTAAAGTATTACCTCCAGTTGAACTCAGAGATATATATACCTCAGACCAGAAGACATCCAAATTTAAAGAGAAGGGGAAAAATGTGATGTAGGAATGAAAAACATTCTATTGGGACAAAATTAGGAAGAGAATTCATATAAATGAGTGACCAGAATTTATTATTATAAAATTAAAATTATGTAATAAAAGAAGAAAATAAAAAAATCAAGACAGAGATTGAATAATTGGTAAATAGATGTTAGGTAATTTTTCTGTGTCGTTCTGATTATTAATACCATTTTCCTGCTTCTTGATATGAATCATTTCCGAGATA